ATTAACAAATATGGGCTGGGAGTGAACTAGAAGGACAGGAAACATCACTTAGAAATTCTGGACTTGGAGCTGTGAGTTGAGACTCTGGGTCATCTCTTTTGGAGGATTATTTGGTGGGCACATTTCCTTTGTAGTTGGGAAAGTCATGCTGTTAGGCAATAGCTTATTGTCACTGATTAGGAAAGTTATTAGTGGATATTTGTAACTTGTGTCCACCCACTCAAAATTGTTGACGATCATCCTGTTTTGATGACTTTCCACATTTTGTAAGTGTCATTTTCCCAAGGTAAAAGCCAAACATTTTGCCTCCCCTGACTCACTTGTAACTAGAAGACAGCCATGAAATCTAGCTTTGCCTTGTGGTGGACTCAAAAGGAAAAAAACAGCAGAAGGTTGTGGCCATAGGCCGGGCAGTCAATCTGGGCAGGATGGGGCAGAGGGTGATGCTCAGCAAAGCTTCTGATACGTGGTCCTAAGCATCACAAGGGGCATGTCTCCAAAGCTGTCCCCGAGTCACGCCTGAGGCTGTTCTGTGTAGCTTCACAACACGGCTTTCTGAAATCCTATAAGCTATCTAGTATCTCTAATCAACTTCTCCGCTTAAAAGCCAGACCCACTCTGGCTAGTCTCAGGCAGAGAAAAAGTGAAATAAAGAATGTCAAGCAACTAAGGTTCCTGACCACGCAGGGTTTCAAGTTGGGAGCTATCGCATTTTTGCCTTCAAAAGGCCACTCTGGCAGCAGAGGTGTGGATGAATTAAGAGAAAAATCACAGGCTGTGGCAGTAATTTAAGAGCCAATCAAGACGGGCCTTGACCAAGAGAGTGACGAAAGGAAAAATGAAAATCAGAGGGAAAAGGCAAAAACCACAAACCTAAACTATAAATATGCAGTTCTGTCAGTAAGCACATAAAAATACAAAGATAAATAAAAATTAAAAAGCACAGTATCTCCTTTTTTTTTATTTTTTGCCTGTCAGTCTGGCAAAAATTAAAAACATTCGTAATACCCAATATTGGCAAGGTTAAAAGGAAAAATATTAGTGAGATAGAATTGATGGGCATTGACAGCCAAGTCTTTTAAAAAAAAAAAACCTTGTATCACGTATTTTTTTACTGAATCTACCGAAATAATTTTTCAGGTAACTCTTAAAAACAATGAGGCTACTGGCAATGACTGTAGTATGCTGCTTTTTGACTGAGTTTGAGAATAATTTTTATACTCCTTTGTATCATATACTTGGAAAAACAGCCTCCAAGTCATTTACGCAAATTGTTCCTACAGAAAACTCAAAGCATAAAAACATTACAGCAATGAGCAAAGTCACCAGCCTAGAGACTTTGGCTTATCCAGGGTTATATATTAAGTATATATACCCATGCTGATACATATTCCATTATATGGATCTAGAAATGGAAAAAAAGTGAAGGAACTCATGCAAATGAGGAAAGATATCCAATTTACACAAAAGCATAAAGCATCCACATTCATCCAAACTACACAGAAACAACAACTCTATTTTCAGGGAACAGGAGACACAGAACTGAAGACTGAGGAGGAAATAGGCAAGGCTTTCTGGTTAGTGGATTTGAATGTGGTTTTCAAACAGGTTTAAAAGACAACAGGATCAGCTGAAAACAGGCAGTTAGATAAACGTATAGAGAGATGTTTTTGGTGATGCTGTTAATAAACAATATAAGATGGTGGTATGCCATGACGCATCCCTCTTGTCTCTGCAGGTGTCTAGATCTACACAGCCTACAACACGATGAACCTCAGTCATCTGCGAAAAGCAATCTTGTGGTTGAGCTATGTCAACAATGCTCGTACCTTTTAGAAATTGACAGTTTAGTAAGAGTCTAAGCATTTATTAACCAATCCCTACTGAAATACCAATGACATTCTTCACAGAAATAGAAAAAGATAACACTAAAAATTATATGGAACCACAAAAGATCCAAATAGCCAAAGCAATTCTGAGCGAAAGAATAAAGCTGGAAACATCATACTACCTGATTTTAAAATATACTACAAAGCTATAGCAACCACAATAGCATAGTATGGTTATAAAAAACAGACATATAGACCAACATAACAGAATAGAGAACCCAGAAATAAGTTCACTTATTTAGAGCCAACTGATTTTTAACAAAGGTACCAAGAACACACATTAGGGGAAAGAACACTTTCTTTAAAAAATGCTGCTGGGAAAACTGGATATTCATATGCAGAAGAATAAAACTGGGCCACTATCTCTCACTGGATACAAAAATCAACTCGAAATGGATTAAAGACTTGAATATAAGACCCAAACCTAGAAAACTACTATAAAACTATAAAACTACTAGAAGAAAACTAGAAAACTGCTAGAAGAAAACTCAGGGTAAACTTCAAGATATTGGTCTGGCATGGATTTTGTGAGTAAGATTTCAAAAGCAGAGGCCATAAAAAGAAAAATAGAAAAATGGGCTATATCAAACTAAAAATCTTCTATAGAGCAAAGGAAACAATCAAGAGTGAAGAGACAACCTGTAGAATGGGAGACAATATTTGCAAACTATCCATCTGACAAGTGACTAATGTTCATAATATACAAAACCCAAATAACTCAATAGCAAAAAGCAATTCTGATTTTAAAACGTGCAAAGGATTTGAGTATTTCTCAGAAGAAGACATACACACGGCCAACAAGTACATCAAAAATTGCTTAACATTATTAATCATCAGGGAAATGCAAATCAAAACCACAATGAGATATCTCACCAAAGTTAGGAAGGGCTTTATCAAAAAGATGAAAACTAACAAGTGCTGGCAAGGATGTGAAGAAAAGGAACTCATATATATGGTTCATGGGAATTTAAATTAGTGTAGTCATTATGGAGAATAACATGGAGGTTCCTCAAAAACCTACAAATAGAATTACTGTGTGATCCAGCAATCTCCCTCCTAGGTATTTTAACAAAGGATGCAAATCAGTATATTGAAGAGATATCTGTACTCCCTTGTTTATTGTAGTACTACTCACAATAGCTAAGATATGGAATCAATCTAAATGTTTACCACCAGGTCAATGCATAAAGAAAATGTGCTATGCACATATACACAATGGAATACTATCAGCAATATATACATTAAAAAAATAAAATCTGTCATTCATGGTGACATGGGAGGAGGGCAAGGAAGTGCTGGGTAGAGAAAGGCAGGGTCCCTGGTAAGGGCTCCACCCTTAGGCCTGTGCCCACAGACCTAGGTAAGGACAGCCACTCCTGTTTTCATCCCCAAATGTTGCGTCTTCCAAGACCACCCTGGCCCACCATGCCCCCAATCCTGTGCCCGAGACCCTAGCAGGCACACACACAGATGGCTGGGTATCAAGAGGAGCAGAGAAATGGAAGAGCAGGCCAACAAGCATCAGCAGACTCCGCAGGCCATCGACAGTGGAATAATGTGAAATTCCGCCAGGGGAGGGGGGAGTCAGAGAGTCTGGCAGCTGGGTGGCCCAACTCCAGGGGAGGACCACCTTCCCACTCACATCCCTGTGAGCCCTGTGAGCTACCTCCACTCTTAAACCTTGCACCCATTCTCCAAGCCCAGGTGTGATCCAATTTTTCCGGTACACCAAGGAAAGAACCCGGGATACAGAAAGCCCTCTGTCCTTGAAATAAAGCAGAGGGCCTAACTGAGCTGATTAACACAAGCCGCCTGCCGATGGCTAAACTGAAAAAGCACATTGTAACACATGCCCAATGGGGCTTCAGGAGCTGGAAACACTCAACCCTAGATGCTGCTGCGTAGGGTCCGAGCCAGTGCTACTGCCGTCTACATGTTCCCCTAGGGGTTTGAGCTGCGGGGCCACACCCCCATCACAAGTCCTGTGAGAGGGAAAAGGGATCTTTTCAATGGCAACATGAATGAGCCCAAAGGAAATTCAGTGAAGTTAAGTCAGGCACATATACACGATGGAATACTATTCAGCCATAAAAAGGAATGAATTAATGGCATTCGCAGCAACCTGTATGGGACTAGAGATTATTATTCTAAGTGAAGTAACTCAGGAATAGAAACCCAAACTCATAAGTGGGAGCTAAACTATGGGGATCCAAAGGCATAAGAAAGGCACAATAGACTTTGGGGACTCAGAGTGAAAGGTGGGAAGGGAGTGAGATAAAAGATTACAAATCATGTTCAGTATATACTGCTTGGGTGATGAGTGCACCGAAGTCTCACAAATCACCACTAAAGAACTAACTGGTACAACAAAAAAATATATATAAAGAAAAAAATAGAGATATATAGACATATTAAAATTTAATGATGTAATCAGAAGAAAAATAAATATCATGTTCTCACTCATATGTAGAAGCTATTTATATTAAAAAAAATTGAGCTCATACAATTATAGAGAATTGTGGGTATTAGAAGGCTAGGAAGGATAGGGAAAGGAAGGATAAGGAGAGGTTAGTTAATGGATATAAAATTACCACTAGAGTAGGTTCTAGTGTTCTATAGCACTATAAGGTCAAAAATGGTTAACATTAATTTATTGTATATTTTCAAAAAACCAGAAGTGAGGATTTTAAATGCTCACAACACAAAGAAATGATAAATGTTCTGGTGATATATATGCTAATTACTCTAATTTGAAAATTACACTTTGTATACATTGTATACACGTATGGAAATATCCTATAAATATGTACAATTACTACATGTCTACTAAAAATAAAAAAAAACTTAAAAATTAAAAAAAAAATCCTTTAAAGAATTTACAGTTTCCTTAGGAATGTTTTATTTGCTATTTTTATACGTTTTGCCTATCATTAAAAGTCCTGACGGTTCTTTGATTAATTTTCTTTACCCAAACAAAGTATCTTCATTAGGACATATTTTTTAAATGTATCACTACACTAACATGACAGTCAGAGTCAAACATAATTGCCATCTCTACAGAGCAGAAATTCTATTTATTTTTTGTCCAAAATCAAAGCACTCTGTGCCTACCTTTTAAGGACAAGGGATTGGATCTCGTGAATTCTGCATTTGATGGCCTGTGCTGTTTGCGAACTTCCAAGTACTCCTGAACTCTTGAAGCAATGGTTTCTTTTAAGAGTAAACAGACTTCCTAAAGTAAATAAAAAATTAGATATAAGCTTCCAATTTAAATGCAAAAAAGTTAACATGATATATATTAAAAGTCAACAATGAACATTTCATTTTGTTTGCTTTTTAATTTAGTTATGAATGTTGAAAGGAATGTCATGTGTGCTCATGGATAACACTGCAGATTTAAATTTGCTACTGAAGTTTGCTCAAAACCGTGATGTTGCCTCACTGTGTGATCTAGGAAAGTCATTTTATTTCTTTCTGCCTCAGTTTCACATTTCTAAAAGAAAGATAAAAACACTTCAATGTGAACATCTGGGTGAGGAGGTAATAAAATAAGCACAGTAAAGAACACTTTCATATAAATATCAATCAGCTGTACTGTGACACATAGAAGAAGTATGTCAAGAAGAGCCAACACTGGCTCGCAGCAAGGGCCCCAAGGAAACACCAGTGTGGCCAGCCAGGGGACAGTAGACAGGGACGGGGCCAGGAGTAAGGGCATATTCATCCACTGCTGGTACGACAGCCTGGGGAACTCAGACCACAGCCCCGGTCAGCAGCGAGCAGCCTCTCATGGTTTCAGGAGACTATTTCATGTATATAAGCACAGTGTTGCTAGATATTCCAATTTGTTCAAAAGGAGTCAGAAATAGTAATTTTTATGGAAAATATCCCATATTTCAAACTTGGTTTAAAAATGTTTTTAAATCTAAACACATTGGCTGGGCGTGGTGGCTCAAGCCTGTAATCCCAGCACTGTGGGAGGCCCAGGTGGGTGGATCATGAGGTCAGGATTTCGAGACCAGCCTGACAAACATGATGAAACCCCGGCCCTACTAAAAATACAAAAATCAGCCAGGCATGCTGGTGTGTGCCTCTAATCCCAGCTACTCAGGAGGCTGAGGCAAGAGAATTGCTTGAATCCAGGAGGTGGAGGTTGCAGTGAGCCAAGATCACACCACTGCACTCCAGCCTGGACAACTGAGTGAGACACCACCTCGGGAAAAAAAAAAAAAATCTAAACACCATTATTAAAACCTAAACAACATCATTCATTAGTTTCTGGTCTTGGGTTTACAAATCTACTGAAGAAGGAAAGTGTTGAGCAGTGAGTTAAGCAGCGAACTGGAAATCACTAATGTTATTTTCCTTCTAACGCTCTTGTTGATGATACTGTATATGCCTGTTTGTTTTCGTAAAAATGCACTACACTCATCTATTAACAGTGAAAATAATGTAATTTCTCTAAAGTAGATTAACACTTACTGGGCGACAGAAACGTGGCTTTAAGTCAATTTCAGTATTCCTTATCACTAGTAAGTTTCCATATATGTCAATTGTTTTATGACATATAAATACAACTGTTTTATTGTTTTGGTGTTATTTATAATAAAGGAAAACAAACATTTAAGCCCAACCACACAATGGGAAGATACTCTGTGCAGTTGTTTCCTACACTAACAGGAAAATGTAACCTAATGTAGAAAAAGAGAATAAAATTACACACAAATCTAAATTTCTTAATTTAGATTAAGAACTGATGTATAAGGACTGATGATTCCTGTTTAATTCCCAAAGACTGCAGCAAACTCAGAGTTGCCCAGGTCACCTCAAACCTGTTTTGCTGGTTTCTTGCAATGTCATCTCAAATTGATCTCTTAGAATCTTCACAAATTAAAACAACAAAATTTTTAGCTGTTCTGAAGAGCAATGATAGTAAAACTTATCCTTTATTACAAACACTTATACCCCTCAAACAGTATAGAAAACACTTGATTTAACTTATGAGTGTGAGTTTCTAGATAAAATACAAACACTGGTTTCCTCTCTCTGTCTTTTCGCTGCCCAAAGATGCAGTGCCTTGTGGAATAGAGAGATATCCATTTACAGTTCAGTCTTTTGGCATTGTTCACACAACAAAAAGGCAGCCTTGCCGCCTCATAGTTTTTTTTTTTTTTTTTTTTTTTTACAATTAAAGAATTTTGCTTCACATGTAGAGTTCAACTATGAGTGAGATAGAAAATATGTGAAAGACATACATGGAAACAACGATTGCCAAAATTTGGCCATAAATGCCCTATAAGGCTAAAACTAAAAATAGTATGACAAAAATAAAGCAAAGGCTCACACACAAACTCTCTCCCTCTAGCTATGGGATGTTCCTTCCCTGAGTCAGTTTGACAAATGGAAGGTAGACCAACTGCAGTGTGGCAAAGACACCAGTAACTGACCACACCACATTTAGCGAAGCTTTCTCTTCAAAGCCACAATAATGCAAGAAAAGAAAAAATTCTCAGCTACCTTCGAGGGGCAGACAAGAAGAACAAGTTAAAATCAGTGCACAAGAGAGAGATACAGAGGACATCTCTAGGCTAACAGGCTGTGCTCACTTCCTCAAGTTTACAAATGGAACAGTTTGAATTCAACTGTTTGGGTACAAAGACTACTTGTGCTGCACTCAAAATAAACATATGGTTAATGCATGTAATTATTTTTTCTAAAAAGGAACTGGATATTCTTAGGCTTTCACTGTGTAAAATGACAGTTAAAATGCAATCAAATTGGTTGCTCATGAAATCCCAATCATGAAAGGACCTAATGATAAAAAGGACAAAAGCCTGGGGACACTGAACGAGGCTAAAGTCATAGCCTTTCCTCAACTAGCTTTTCTCCTTTCTTATACACACAAATGATCCCAGAGGGATTTTAACCTCAGTGAATCTTTTTTTTTTTTTTTTTT